ATCTCATTGTGGTTTTGGTTGGCATTTCCCTGATGATTAGTAATGGTGAGCATCTTTTTGTGTGTTTGTTGGTGATCTTCAGAGAAATGTCTATTCAGGTCTACTGCCCATTTTTTAATTGGTTTGTTTGGGGTGGGTTTTTTTATTTTTTGGGGTGTTTTTAGTGTTGATATGTTGTTTAAGTTCTTTATATACTTTGGATATTCATCCCATCAGATATATTATTTGCAAAGGTCTTCTCCCATTTAGCAGGTTGCCTTTTTGTTGACAATTTCCTTCCTTTGCAAAAGCTCTCATTTTGATGTAGCCTTAATAATTTATTTTTGCTTTTGTTTCCCTTGCCTGAGTAGTCTTATCTAGAAAAATGTTGCTAAGGCCATGGTAAAAAAAATTACTATCTATGTTTTCTTCTAGGAATTTTATGGTTTCAGGTCTCATGTTTAGTTCTTTAGTCTACTTTATTTTTGTGTATGATGTTAGAAAGTGGTATCGTCTCATTTTTTTGCAAGTAGCTGTCCAATTTTCCCAGCACCATTTACTAAAAACAGTGTCTTTCCCCCATTGTATATTCTTGCCTCCTTTGTCATATATTGACCATATAAGTTTGGGTTTATTTCTCGGCTCTGTATTCTGTTCCATTTGTTTATATGTCGTGTGTGTGTTTGTGTGTGTGTGTGCGTGCGCACGTGCCAGTAGCATAGGGTTTTGATTACTATAGCTTTGTAATATATCTTGAAACCTGGGATTATGATACTTCCAGCTTTATTCTTTTTTCTCAGGGTTGCTTTGGCTTTTTAGGGTCTTATGTGGTTGCATACAAATTTTAGTATTATTTGTTCTAGTTCTGTGAAAAATGCTGTTGGTACTTTAATAAGGATTGCATTGAATCTGCAGATTGCTTTGTATAGTATAGACATTTTAATATTCTTCCAGTCCACAAGCATGGAATGAATATATTTTCATTTGTTTGTATCATCTTCATTGCTTTTATCATTGTTTTAATAGTTTTCAGAGTACAGGTCTTCCACTTCCTGGGTTAAGTTCATTCCTAGGAGTTTTATTCTTTTTGGTGCAGTTGTAAATGGAATTGTTTCCCTAATTCATCTTTCTGCCACTTCGTTATCAATGTATATAAATGTAGTTGATTTCTGTGTATTTTATCAGGCAACCTTGCTGACTTCACTTATTATTTCAAAGAAGGAATTGTTAAACAAAAAGGAAACAGAACTTAAAGATTTAGAATAGTCTCAATCTGTACATATTGCAAAAAATGAGAAAGCATGTTTAGAAGAAGACACAAGGGTATGACTGACCAACTATTTGATAAAGAGATTAGAATGTGTGTTAACCATGGACTTCTTCAGTGACCCCAGCAAGATTACTGCCAATTTGGACTGAAGGAGATGGATACAGGTCAGAATGAACGAAGGCTGTCAGACTTAGATTCTGTAGGACAGGACAATAAAACAGACCATTAGGCTTCAAACTTGCACTGTTCTTCAAGGAAAGAATGTCTCAAAAGCTGATTCAGAGATCATCAGAGCTACCATCTTGGTTCTAGTAACCCACACTGCTTTTAATCAAAGCTGTAGGGAAGGACTTCTAGTAGACCCCTGGTGGTTTGTCCCCCCCCCCCCCCCGCGCCCAGCAGAGCCTTAGGTTGGATGGAGCCTTTACAGAAAGTCACAGCATGGTGGTACCCCACTAAAGTATGAGGGTGATATTGCCACCTCAGTGGGTCTGGAAGTCAGAGCACTCAGTCAAAGAAGATTATTCTTGACTTTTAAGGTCTTCTAGAGTTTGCCTTGCTAGGTTTTGGAATTGCTTGGGACTGTCACCCCTTCCTTCCCTATTTCTCCCTTTTGGAATGCCTGTTGCATGTTCATAACTGGAGAATAATTTTGCCTCAGGATCAATCATACCTTGAGTCTCACCCATATCTGATTTAGATTACGTATATATATGGCACTTGGGTGACATCCGGCTTTGGCTCAGGTCATGCGATCTCATGGTTCATGAATTCGAGCCCTGCATCAGGCTCTGTGCTGACAGCTCAGAGTCTGGAGCCTGCTTTGAATTTTGTGTCTCCCTCTCTGTCTGCCCCTCCCTGCTCATGCTCTGTTTGTCTCTCTCTCAAAGATGAATAAACGTTAAAAAAAAATTTAGATTGTATATTTTATATATATTTTATTTTTTAATATAGTTGGCTCACATGTTACATTAGTTTCAGGCATTAGATGAGACTTTGGACTTGAGAAGTTAAAGTTGATGCTGGAACGAGTTAAGACACTTGAGGTGGTTGGGATGGAATGAGTGCATTTTGCATGTGAGAAGGACATAAATTTGGGGCGGGGGGAGGGGGCAGAGCAGAATGCTGTGGACTGAATTTTTGTGTCTCTTGGCCATGTCACGATACAGCAAAAAGCTAACTGTCTGCAAACCAGGAAGTAGGCTCTCAGCAGGAACCAAATTGGTTGTTGGCACCTTGATCTTGGACTTTCCAGCCTCCAGAATTGTGAGAAATAAATCTATGATTTTTAAGCCACCCAGTCTATGGTAATATAGGTATATACACAAAAAATTTGAAACGGGTCTTGTAGAGATATTTGCATGCTTATGTTCATTGTGTCATTATTCACAATAGCTAAGAGTTAAAAGCAACCCAGATGCCTGTTGATACATGAATGAACAAAATTGGCATATACATGCAGTGGAAAGCCTTAAAAAGAAATTCTGATACATGCTACAACACAGATGAACTTTAAGGATGTTATGCTAAGTGAAATAAGCTAGTCCACAAAAAGACAAATACTCTATGATTCCATTTATATAAGGTGCTTAGAGTAGTCAAATTCGTAAAGGCAGAAAGTTGAATGATGGTTACTGGGGGGGTGATGGGAGGGGGGAATGGGATGTCATTGATTAATGGGTTTGAGTTTGAGGTTTTTTGTTGTTGTTGCTACAAAAAACATTATTGTTTCCATTTGGTACATGGTCAGGGTGGGGCTCCTGGGTGGTTGAAAGCTGCCTCGTGGCTGCACAGGGAGGCTCAGGCAGAAGCCCAGACACCAAGGGGGTGCCAGAAGGATCCCTTCAGAGGCTGCCGGGCTATGCAGACTCCGTCTTGCTTGAGGAGTGAGCCTTTCGAAGAGATCTTTGCCCAGCCTAGTGGCTGGCCAGCCTGTGCAGGCAAGCCAGGTGGTCACCATCCTCCTTAGTTTCCCCTCCTCATCCAGGAAATGGTTCCTCAAAAAGTCTCAGTCATGGGGGGTCTGCGTGGGCAGAACCCCTGGCTTTCAGATCCCAAGGGGCCTGCTTCAGGTTCTTGTCTAGAACCTTGTAGTTTTTGCCCCACTGATCTTGAGGCGGCTTCTGCACCTCCTGGAAGAGGGAGCTGATTTTTCATCTTCAAGAGATGCGAGGTGCCCACTTATGAAGGAAGTGGCCCAGGCCCTGCTGAGTCACATTCTAATAGTTGAAATAGAAGCCCAGGAGAGGCAGGTATAGGAAGTACACAGGTAAATGTTGACCAGGAAGTTGAAGGTGGAATAATTCTTAGGAATCTCAGAACCTCAGTGAAATACTTCAGATGAATCTGGGCACTTGTGTTTAATAGCAGTAAGGAGTTAAGCTGGAAATGTGGTGTTGGCTGATCCCACAGGTGGAGGATGGCAGAGAAGATGATTCCAACAATTGCAACTAGAAAAATGGTACGGGGCCTTTCTGTCTACATACATTGTTAAAGCAAGAGACAGATCCCCATGACCCTGGGCACACAGCCTGAGTTTCAGTTTTGAAAGTTGTAAAGAATTTTGGAGATGGATGGTGGTGATGGTTAACAACAAAATGAATGTGCTTAATACCACTTAGCTGTACACTTAAAATAATGGTTAAGATGGCAAATTTATGTTATGTGTGTTTTACCACAATAAAAGTATTTCTGCTGTTCATAAAGCATATAATACAGACGTATCTTACCTCTGGTTAATGATGTTTTGATACTTTAATATGTTTGGGTTTTCCTCAAGTTGCAGGTTTTTATAAATCATTAATAAATGTACAGAGATTATACTCCCATAATTGCAGAAACATTATTGATTATTAGAGAAAGCTCATTTATAGTATGGTTAAAGTTCCTTAGTACAGTACCAATGAATGTTAGAATGGCCTTGGAAAGGCAGTTTTGAAATTTTGCCTAATGTAATAGGATTTACTTACCTGTTTACTCCTAAGTTACTTTAATGTTGTTTCTGGAAATAATGAAAACCTATCACGTTAATTATTTTAATTTTGTTTAAATCATCCTCTCTGTTTTTCTTTTTAGTTTTTTTTTTTTAAGATTTTATTTATTTTTAAAAAAAAAATTTTTTTTTCAACGTTTATTTATTTTTGGGACAGAGAGACAGAGCATGAACGGGGGAGGGGCAGAGAGAGAGGGAGACACAGAATCGGAAGCAGGCTCCAGGCTCCGAGCCATCAGCCCAGAGCCTGACGCGGGGCTCCAACTCCCGGACCGCGAGATCGTGACCTGGCTGAAGTCAGACGCTTAAGCAACTGCGCCACCCAGGCGCCCCAAGATTTTATTTTTTAAGGGGCACCTGGTTGACTCAGTTAAGTGTCTGACTTTGGCTTAGGTCATGATCTCATAGTAAATGTGTTCAAGCCCATGTTGGGCTCTGTGCTGACAGCTCAGAGCGTGGAGCCTGCTTCGGATTCTGTGTCTCCTTCTCTGTCTACTCCTCCCCCACTCGTGCTCTGTCTCTCTCTCTCTCAAAAAAATTTTTTTTAATGTTTATTTTTAAGTAATCTCTACACCCAACATGGGGCTTAAACTCAAAACCTCAAAATTGAGAGTTGTACCCTCCACTGACTGAGCTACCCAGGTGCCTCTGTTTTCCTTTTAATAGACCCATTTAGATCACCATAAGAATGGATTTGAATGCCAATAAATCTGGTTTACCCTTAATTTTTTGGTGTTTTGTCTTATGTTCTAAATTTAGATATCCAAAGAGAAGAAGAAAAAGTAAAACGGTCAGTGAAAGATGCTGCCAAGAAGGGCCAGAAAGACGTCTGTGTAGTTTTGGCCAAGGAGATGATCAGGTCAAGGAAGGCTGTGAGCAAGCTCTATGCTTCCAAAGCTCACATGAACTCTGTGCTCATGGGGATGAAGAACCAGCTGGGTAAGATGGCCATTATCTGCAGCCTCCTCATTAATGCTGATGGCTCTTGCTACTTTTATTAGTCCTGGCTGGATTTCTTGAATGGGAAGAACAGACTCCACTCTGGTTTTTATTCTTTATATTGTCTTGGTTGGAGTGTTACACAAATGCAAAATATAATTATTACTATCATTATTTTATGATTCATTTTCTTTCGCAGTGTTGTTGCAATAATGGCAAAATAAGCATATAAATCTGCTTTGCTTAGAATATTCTGCCTCATGTGAACAGTGTTATAAAGTGACCTGAGAGTTGAGTCAGAGGAGTAAGAAGTGAGCCTGTGCATTGGAGGAATAAGAAGAGAATTTCCTCTGTTCCGAGAGCAGAGTCATCCAAGGCAGAATGTTAAAATAGTCCAGGTCTGGGGCTCCTGAGTGGCTCAGTTAGTTAAGCATTCAATTCTTTTTTTTCAAGTTTATTTGTTTATTTTGAGACAGAGAGAGGGAAAGCATGAGTAGGGGAGGATCAGAGAGAGGGAGAAACAGAATTCCAGGGCTCGAACTCATAAACCATGAGATCATGACCTGAGCCGAGATCAAGAGTCAGATGCTTAATAACTGACTAAGCCACCCAGGCACCCCTAAGCATCTAATTCTTGATCCCAGCTCAGTTCTTGATCTCAGGGTCGTGAGTTCAAGCCCTACACTGGGTATGAAGCCTACTTTAAATAGATAGATAGATAGATAGATAGATAGATAGATAGATAGATAATCACTCAATCCAAGTTTATTTTTGGCTTTAACCCCACCTCCTTTTCTGTCTTATCTCTGGCTCTCTACCTAATGCTTCCTTACATCTTAGGAATCTGCAAACTTGTAATGGGTATTCACACATGTGAGCTATCAGTTTAATTTCTAAAAATGTATTATAATATTTAAAATAAGAATAAACATAATTTAGTTTTCTTTTATTGTCCAGTGTAATACTGTTGTGATCTTTCACATGCATCTGTCTCTAGGCCAGTGACAGCTTGAGTCATAGGTTAAATTTACATCCAGTTGTTTTCTGTTTGTTTTTTAAATTTTTTTTATGTTTATTCATTTTTGAGGGAGACAGAGTCAGTGTGAGTGAGAGAGGGGGAGAGAGAGAGGGAGACACAGAATCTGAAGCAGGCTCCAGGCTCCAAACTGTCAAGCACAGAGCTCTATTCTGGGTTCAAACTCATGGACCGCAAGATCATGACTTGGGCCAAAGTTAGATGCTTAACCATCTGAGCCACTTGAGCACCCCTAGTTTCTGTTTTTTAACTTAATTTCTGTTAAATTAAGAAGTCCTAACTCAGAATTATAGTTCCTTGAGAATGGCACCAAATGACTGTTAGATATTTAGACTTGAGTGTGGACTCAGAAATTACAGAGAAATTTTACACTAACGAACATTTTCAGGGGCGCCTGGGTGGCTCAGTCAGCTAAGTGATCGACTTCGGCTCAGGTCATGATCTCACGGTTTGTGGGTTCGAGGCCCGCATCGGGCTCTGTGCTGTGACCCTGATGAGTTTATTTAAAATTTTTTCGGTATTTCCTTTTCTGAGTGAACATTAGAAAACATCTGGCTTATTCTCCCCACACCCCCCATAAAGCTCTGTATGCACAGCCGTTTTTGTTTCCCCAGTTGCAAAGATGAAAGTACACAGGATGATAATAGTAGATGTTTAAGTACCTGTCACCCGGAATGAATACAATTTGACATTTTGTTGTATTTGCTTCAGTTTTATATGCTAGAAGAAACAGTATTAGTAAAGTTGAAGCTCCTTTAATATGTCTTCCCAGTTCCCTTCTCTTTCAACCACCCCATAAGTAATCACTGTTATGAATCTTGATGTTGGTAGAAATGGTATTCTGTATATAACATTCTGCCTTGTTGTTTTTCATTTATCATTGTGTTTTTGAAGCATACCCATAATGACATATTTTTTTTAACTAGTGGATGTTGTTTCATCAGATGGATGTATCACATTTTACTTTTCCTCCACTGATGGACATTTAGGCTCTTTTCAATATTTTGCTATTACAGTGCTGCTGCGAATGTCTTTTCTCTTTTGCCCATGTGTAAAGGTTTCTCTAGAACAATTTTATACTCAGAAGTAGAATTGCTGGGTTAAAAATAAGTGGGCTGAAATTTGCTACAATTGCAAAATTGTTCTCCAAAGAGGCTTTACTAATTTGCATTCCCACAAGCAGTGGATGAGAGTTCCTTTTTCCATTCCTTTTCACCAACCCTTGTCAGACTTTGTAATTTTTGAGAAATGTTACCTTATTACAGCAGATAACATTTCTCTGGGAACTAGTGTACTTGATCACTGTCTTCTGTTTAGCTTTTCTTTCTGGTGTACTGATTCCTAAAGACCTTTTCAAGCAGGTAGAGCTCATAGGTAATCATCCGCATGAAAAATCTCTTCTCCTGTAGGGGCGCCTGGGTGGCGCAGTCGGTTAAGCGTCCGACTTCAGCCAGGTCACGATCTCACGGTCCGTGAGTTCGAGCCCCGCGTCAGGCTCTGGGCTGATGGCTCAGAGCCTGGAGCCTGTTTCCGATTCTGTATCTCCCTCTCTCTCTGCCCCTCCCCTGTTCATGCTCTGTCTCTCTCTGTCCCAAAAATAAATAAACGTTGAAAAAAAAAATTAAAAAAAAAAAATCTCTTCTCCTGTAGCATGTACTTTCAGTAGTAAGCAGAAGCTCTTGAATGTACTGCACAGAAGTCAGAGCTTGTTATCCTTTAAATATATACCCATAACAATATATTTTATTGTTTGTTTCAGATACATATTATTTGTGGTTTTCTCACAACTGGAAAGTAAAATATTTGCTGGTTGTTTTTTTTTTTTTTTAAATTAGAGCACACGTGCACAAGTGGGGAGAGGGGCAGAGGTAGAGAGAATCCTAGCAGGCTCTGCATTCCATGCACAGCCCAACTTGGAGCTCTGTCCCACGACCCCAGGATCATGATCTGAGCTGAAATCAAGAGTTGGATACTCAACCAACCATGCTAGCCAGGCGCCCCGTTTGGTCTTTAAATGAGTCAGAGTACCCTAAGACTCCGTTCTAGATCCTCCGCTGTTTTCCATGTTCACTCTCTTCCCCCAGGTGGCTTTATCTAATGTCGTGCCTCAAAATACTGCTTTCCACATTTTTATCTTCACGCCTGACTTTGTCACCTGGGGTGTGGTGACTCCACTTATATCTTAATGGTTATGTTAAGCGGTTATCTCCACTTATGTCTTAATGGTTATGTCAGAATTACTACACCTGCACAGAAATCTTGTCTGGTCCTACTTCATCTGTATCTGCATCTACTCCCTTGTATTTCCCCCTGGGGAACCTAAGACCCCACACAGTTTCATCTGTAAATATTTCCACATGGATTCCTAAAAGACAAGGGTGCTGTCCCTTCAGTTCCCTGGTCTTTTAGTTCTTGGATGTGTTCATGAGATCATTTCCTTTCCACTGTATTTTCTCTTTCTTTCTGGAAGCAGAAGATTTTGTTAGACTTCCCAGACTGATCCTTTAATTTTCTTACCTTTCCTGTTTTCCATTTTGAAAATAATAATAGCACCTTCCTCATAGAGTAGTTGTGAGGCTTATCAACCAACGCCTGGTATATATAGCTCAAAATATGATCACTGTCACCAATTTTGTTGTTGTGTTTCACTTTCTGAGAAATTTCCTTAACTTTATTTCCCATTTCTTCTCTCAAATTCTTCATTTTGGCTATCTGAATTTTAGTTTACAGAAGAGTTCTCTGATTTTTTTTGAAATCATCCTGTTCTTATTTCATGAACTCTTCTTTCTGAAATGTTCTAGTGTTCCTTGAACTGTTTGTCAGAGCTCCTTCTCACCACCCTCTTCTTCTCTCTCTCTCTTCTTTTTTAAGAAAGAAAAGGAGAGGGTGGGGATGGTGGGGAGGCTGGATTAAGTGTAGGCAGCATTCTTCTCAGGCAGACAAAGCTACCAAGAGTGAAATGATAATTCTTTAATAAATCCATTTTTTAGCCCCTATTATGTGGCAGATGTATTGCTGGGCACCAGGGATAGTCAACATTATAGGCACAGTCATTGCCCTCTAGGTATGGGATGAAAGCAGCTAATCTTTAAATTTAATAAAAATACCTAAAAAATAATAAATTTAATAGTCAAGTAAGTGGTACTTCTCTTGCAAACTGTGATAAGCACCAGGAGACTGGAATAGGGAACCGGAGTGGAGAATGGCTCCTTTCAGGGACCAACGATACTGAAGGACGACATGGGTGCTCCAACCTGAGTGCCAGGCAGCTCGTAGGAGAGCCCTGGGGCCAAGAAGAACTGCACATATAGGAAGTTCCGGGAGGTTGGGGTACAGGAGAACATGGAGGAGGGATGGCCGGAGAGGCTGAGCAGGGAGGTGAGGAAGACAGTTTTTATAGCCATCAGGAGAGCAAGGGTTTTCAGAGACAAGCTCAGATTGAGATCGCTGTAGGGGTGGCACAGATAAACTGCAGGACGAGTTCAGAGGAAAAGTATTCTGAGGCGAATCAGAGGCATCTCAGTTCATGGATTAGGGTGCACAAAGGCACAGATGAAATACTTCAGGCTGTGTTCAGCAAACAGTACGTGTTTCAGTTTGACAAGAGCACATTAAGTGGGGCAGTGGGAGGTAGAGCTCCAAAGGTAATTTGGAGTCAGTTTTGTAAGTTAAGCAGGGACTTATCATTCCATTTTGTAGGCAGTAGAGTGCCGTGTACATTGTGAGCACAAACTGTAGATGCAGCAAGGGACTGGCACAGCAGGATGGCAGGCGGGGGACCTGAGTGGCCATGGGCAGGACCTGAGTAGCTTAGTCAAATGAGATGCATGGAAGAGAGGACACTGGGAAGTTTTAGTCTGGATGCAGAGTAAATGGATGTAGTCAGGGTACAAATAAGCTGGAAATGCTTTAAGACCTTGAACCTGAAAAGAATGCAGGGCCATTAAAAGACACTGGAAACTGA